TGTGTACAAACATAGAGATACCTGCAAGTGCTTTCACCAATCCATCTTCCACCTCTCTAAGCTCAGCTTTCAATTTCACGAGTTTCCCTGCCAAAACGACAAAAACAACAAACATAACTCAAAAACTTAACCAAGAGCAACAGCTAGCTATTTTTCCACTGTACACCGACTACAGTTCTTAAACACCAAAACTCAGCTCCTAAGAGCTTCTTTATGAGATCCCAGCCTTCCATTTTCCTACTTTTAGACTAAAAAATAAATAAATAAATCCCTAATCTAAGCAAAATATCTTGTTTCAACTAACTCCCAGCAACGAAAAAAGAAAGCCCTGAAATTGTGAAATGGGGAGGGTTAATGTTAGGGTTTTGAAGCGGAAGATAACTACCTTGAAGTTGAACGGTCTCTTGAGCTTTGGATTTGTTCGAATCGAGAGATTTCTGAAAGGTTGCGGTGACAGAGTCGATGCGGCGCTGCATGATCGGTATTTCTCCGGCGCATTTGAGCCTCAATTCCTCCATCTGCGCCCGCACAGTTGCCCCTACTGTGCTCTCCATCTCCAGTCCCAGATGGCTTCTTAAGCCCTTTGCGTCGTACGAACCGGAGACGGCAAGAGAGAGTAGCGTTCAATTTGAAAAAGCAAGAGAACAGTGGAGCTCTGCTTAGCCCGCCATTTTCATTTGTGTTTTGAAAACAGAATCCTATTTTTTCCATGGACGCTCATGATTTAGATTTTAGAAATCAAAATTTTCACCAATGGCCCTTCAAATCTCTTAAGTGTGTTGGAAAGACCCATGTGGCCATATTGCAATTAACTTTTAAATGTTAAATTGCTGAGAATGTTAGATTTCTTGAAATGTTAGATTTTTGTTTTTAGTTAAAATTTGATTGTAATATAATCATGTTTGATTTAGAGTTATCTTTTATACCCACATTATAATATCCTTAATATATTTTTAAATATTTTAATAAATTAAAAATTAAAATATATAAATAAAATAACGGTATTATATATAATTACATAATTTTAAAATATTAACTAAAATCTTGAACTTGAGAAACAAAATTATTTTATATGCTAACATAACATAATAAAAATAATAAATATATAATTACAAGAATATATATATATATATATATATATATATATATATATATATATATATATATATAATAACTAAGTTTATTTTACATAACCTAAGAAATGGAAATTGAAGGGAATCACATTCCCTTCAAAATCTTATGTGGAGGGAATGTGACATTCCTTGGGAATGTTATATTCCCTAAGATAATATGAACCAAACATAGAAATGTGAAATTTGCAATGTCACATTCCCTTGGTTATGTTATATAATATGAATCAAACGCCCCTTAAATTTTTGTATTTAGCAACAGAGTCATATAGACTCATGTACTAAGGGGGGTGTATTCAATCATAACTTTCATAGAGTTTTAAAGACTTTTATAAACTTTAAAAGTTTAGAGGTATTCAATTCAAATTTTTAGAAAGTCTTTAAAAGTCTAACAGTATTCAATCACGATTTTGAAAGAGTCTTTATAAGTCATGTGGTATTCAATTAAGACTTTTAGAGAGTCTTTTAAGGGTCGTTTGGTTCACGGAATGTCAGATTACCTTAGGGAATGTTAGATTGCTGGGAATGTGAGATTACTGGGAGTGTGAGATTCCTGTGTTTGGTTAAAATTGGGGTATGTAATATAATCATGTTTGGTTTAGGGTTATCATTTATTCACACACTATAATATCCTTAACATATTTTCATATATTTTAATAAATTTAAAAATTAAAAATAAATAAACAAGATAACGGTATCATATATAATTATATGATTTTAAAATATTAACTAAAATATTGAACTTGAGAAACAAAATTATTTTATATGCTAACCTAACATAATAAAAATAAAAAATATATAATTACTGTGTGTGTGTGTGATAAACTAACATAACCAATGTTATCTTACATAACCTTAGAAATTGAAGGGAATCACATTCCCTTCAAAGTCCTATGTGGAGGGAATGTGACATTCCTGGGGAATGTTAGATTCCCTGAGTTAATGTGAACCAAGTATAGGAATGTGAGCTTTGGAATGTCACATTCCCTTGGTTATGTTATATAACCTGAACCAAACGCCCCAGAGTCATGTGGTATTTAAAAAGTTATGAACTTTTGTAGACTTTTTAATTTTAGGACTTTTGTAGACTTTTCCTTCTCAATTATAAATAGTTGAAATCCAACCATCAACCCCAATATTTCAAAATTTTCTTTCTAACAACTTTAGATGTTTTCTCTCTATTTAAACTCTATTTTTCCCCCTATTTAAACTTTATAAACCTATCTAAATTTAAAAAATATATTTTTTTTCTTCATTATCCTATATTTTCTTCATACCTAAACTCTACCAATTTTTCTCTCTCCCAAACTTTACAATCTTCCTCTACAAATTTTAAATAATATTATTTTTATTTCATTATTGCTTGTTTATATTGATTTTTATTTTTTTTCTATAAATTTTTTATCCCTAACTTTCTCTAATTCTCCCTAAATACATGAACAAAACAAATTTTTTCATTGTCAAATTTTAGTATATGTTTCATAATATTCATATAAATACTTATATATTTTGATTTTTATATATATTCTTTTTTTGTTTATATTCGTAATATATATTTTTCATTTTTTTTAACAACAGGTTACTACGAATAGCGAACTACTGTTCGCAACAACAATTTGGAGTTGCAAACAATAGCACCTTGTTGTTGTTCGCAATCTCAAATTACTATTGTAAATAATAGTTCTTTGCATGATGCCTAGCAATATATCAAAGTATAATTTTTTTGTTTATATTATTAATATTAGATTTTTATTTTTTTTATTTTATGAAACTTGTAATTATATTTTTAAATATTTTATTTGATCAATTCTTTTATTATAAATTTTATTGTTCAATGTTTGTATGAATTATAGTAATTAGGAATTAACGAATGTCGTTTCTTGTTCTTATTGAGTGTTTGTTGCACGGGATGGATATTCACCAGGGATCGAGATCACGAGAGTAATTCAATTCCACATCTGCATTCTCACACGGATTTAAATCTGAATTAAATATTACATCTTTGATTGGCACTAGGGGATTAAACACTTAGATACCAGGAATCCTATTTTGCTCTATTGTCTTCACCAATCTGCTTAGTTTATTTAGGTATTTTCTAGCTTACAATTGCTAAAATCATTTGTTTTGTTAAGACTAGTTAGGTTCACGTGAATAGTCTAGTAGCTAGTGCTTAGTATCCCACTTCCCTGAGGATTGACTATCCATACTCAAGAGTATTTATTTGTTTGCAAAATTACTACAACCACACGAGGTGATTAAAATGAGTGTGAGCACCCCAAGCTGCCCTAAATTGAAACCTTCTCTCCTTACTGTTAGTTGTCGTGGCTTCCAAAGAAACTAGCAACGGGTTATGATCTGAAGTAAAACTTGGAAGGTGTGCAACGTAACAATATAATTGTATCTGGGAACATGGTGAGCCACTCTTCAGTGCACAGACATCGCATCTTGGAGGTTGGAAACATTACTCCCTCTCCTCCAGGTAAAAGTCGATCTTTTGAAGCCCAAATCAATAAAATTCTCATGGTCAATCCATTCCACAAAGTCCTTAAAGTAGCATTCTCTGCCACATTGTCTGTTTTCACTTCATCCACATGTTGTAATTCAGGCCAAACTAATCATTTATGCCCCATTTATCCAATGTTCAACATATCGCAAATTATGTTGTGCAACCGTGAGCACCATACATAATGTACACGGTTGCAAAAAGGGTATCATTTGAATAATTTTGAACAAACACAACCTCACACAGAATTCACAACATACAACATTTGAATAATTTTTAAAAAAAAAAAAAAAAAAACAAAGAAACAACCAGGACCACGACTTACACAATTCAGACACATTACAAATAAAAATTCCACTTATACATTTTATCAAACATATTACAGTAAAAAAAATCTCCACTTACATATAATCAAACACATTACAAACAAAAAATCTCCACTTGCACATTTTATTAAACCACTTTATATAGACAATCAATACTCATTCTTATACACTCTATTAGAGTACTATGAAGAACATGTGAAAATAATGGCGAACGTATTAAAAGATCTCCAAAGCATTTCATGTAATAAATATTCATAATACTACTTACACTATAATATATTTAGAATATACACTTAAAAGTATGGATTTCAAGCATACCTTTGTCTCATTAATGACAGACTAGTCAACGGTGGGCACTTGTCAATTGCAAATTTGCAATGGACAAAAGTCAATGGCAGGCATATGTTGCTTGCTTTATGAAATTGAGGATTTTGGTTTGATTTTTGTATTTGAGGAGGTTGATTTCTAATTTAGGGATTTAATGTATAATTTAGGAAGTTTTATTTAAGTTTATATCCACATAACACAAAGATATATTAAAATAAATATCAAAACAAAAATTCGCGTATAAATTTTCTTGCATCCAACTTAGCATTTACATAAACAGGCTAAAACTGCTACAACTGTCTAAATAAATTATATTTTAATATATGATACCGGATGACCAATCGTGATTTATACATATGCCTATTTGACCCTTTTGCCTTCAGTATTTAGTCAACAATTTCTAACCTTTTTTTTTTCATTTCAGAATTATTTCATTTAATTTGAAATATTCAAATTACACCGTAATATTCATATTAAAATTTGACAATATATTTTTGAAAAAAATGTTTCCTATCCCCCTACAAAAATCACACAACACAATTTTTGCCACTCCTAAATTCCTAATGTGGCTATATTGACTTATAACTCCAAATTAAAGTTTTATCCTAATTAAGGATACTCGTAAAAGAAGCTTGCTCATCCTCAACTCGCTTTTGTTTAGCAAGTTTGGTATACATATCTGAATGCCAAAAACAACTCATACAGTTTCTGTAGTAACATCTCAATCCAACTGCAATTGTCTTTTATAATTGAAATATGATAAATTCATAAGAAACAGAAACTTCTACAGTACTTGTATTAAGAAACAGGATGAAGCATAAATAAGATGGCAGATAACTGCCACCACCAAAACTCAGGTTAGCCCGAATTCGCGAAAATTCAATTTGCCTGCATTTCACATTACTTGGTAATTCTATAACCCTGAAAACGAGAGAAATTACTTTCATTACAGTTCCAAGAATCCTAAGTTTAAGAATGAAACAGTGATTCACCTCAAGAATACATACCTTTACCCTCTTCAGAAGGTCCTTCGCTTTGGCATCGTTCTTGAAATGGTCACGCACAGGCTGCATAGCACATAAAAGACATATTAACACCTAAACAAATATCAATTCCACCATTTGCGTCCATCATCATGCTTCTACACGTATAAAGTCAAAGATCTATAGCTAGCTCCTGGTAAAAAAGCAATAGTACTTGTAATTCTTATGAGGTGCAATTGCTCAGGTTTCATCTACCTAAAATAATTTATACAATATATATATATCAACTTTAAGATGGGGCAACTAAACAATCCCTTAGACACTCAAGGTTGCAACAGGCATGGAAACCATTAGGGATAAGAACAGTGATCTATACAAGTCTTGAGTGTACCTGCAGGATCTTGTTTAGTGCCTTTGACAGAGCAGGTTTAAGATCCCCAGGGTGCAATGCACCACTTTCATAGTCGGCAACAAGTTCCTCAAAAGTCTTGAAGGTCCTGCACATGTGAAAACACAAGTAATGAGGCAAAAAATAGGCGATGATCAATTTTCATGATAAAGTTTGAACTCAAAACAGCAAACATATTAATGAAAGTAAAGCTACTTCAAAGAAGAGAGCAAAACCCAAAGACCAAATGTCTTACTTTTCACCACCATTATCTGGATTTCGCTCCACCTTGAACTCATTAAACCAGGGAAAGATAATGTACTTGATGTATTCTAGACAAGGGTTTTTCTCTACAACCTTAGGTGGGCAGAATGCCTTCTTTATCTTGAGATTCACATCTGCCTATACCATACATTGCATCATATAGGTTATGCAATAGATATAAAAGGATATTGATTGGCATGCCGCTGATAAATCCAATCAATTATAGGACCAAGGAGATTAACTATACAATACCTCTTCATCTTCCATGAAAATGGAAGATGATGGATCACTCTTTGACATCTTCTCTTGACCTTCCTGCAAGCCAGGCAGCATGTCTGCATACAAGTACAGTGAATAACAAGGCTAACACAGAAAAGTCAAATTATCAAATGAAGTTTGAACTTGAAAATTTTGGTTTGAGAGCATACGATGAGACAATATGATAGGCTTGTTTTTCCTCTTTATATCTTCACAGTATTCTCTGGCAAGTACATTCACTTTACGCTGGTCCATTCCCAATTGACAGATGTCAGCCTATAAAGAAATGCATTGTGAGTTGCTTTTACAATAAAACCAAGACCTAACTTCCTAAACGGAAAAACATAAAGCAAGTGTGTCCTGTCTAAAAATTAAAAAAAAAATGTGACATTTATGGTAGTAATCTATAAAGTGGAAATAACCATGCTAGGAAGAAGTTTACATCAAGCCTAACTAAAACATTCCAATAGACACAAAAAGACGTAAAAACACAAATAACAAATCAACCACAACAAAGGGCAGGAGCTGTAATAACAATGGAAGCAGAGGCAACTTTAGAATATTGACCAGTACCAGTATATAAGAAATGCCCAACACCAAAACTCTTTTACATGTTTTTAAGTCTGCCACCCACATTGAATGGTTTGAGAAATATTATTAAATAATAACCAAACAAATGCTTCCAATCACTAAGTACTGCCAAAATAATGGATAAAACTTCAATATGAAGATCAAAGAAACTTTTGAATAAGAAAATGCAGAAAACCTTGAGATACAATATGTTGTGTTATGTCCTCTATGGCTCTATGTATGAGATGAAAGGCCTTACAAGCAAATCTAAAGCACACACAAAAAAGTATGCGTTCCACACAATCCCTTTTGTAAAATACTATCAATCAAAAGTTAATTATTATGAGTAGAACTCTAACTTTGAAAAATGTAAGGCTATATCATTGTGTATATGTCCTTCAATATTAGAGAGTAAATGAAGCATTACATGAGGTGTGCTGTAGTATAAAGTGTACTGTAAACAACTAAACACTGAAATAACTTTAAAATATTATGTTCCCCTTGTGTAAGGATTAAGTACTTAATTATTAATCGACACAGAAAACATTGATTAATAAATAAGGCCATAAGGGCATCAGGACCTCCAAATTGCATTCAAAAAGTATCATGTCAATAACAAAATATGTCCAAGTAGAATATATACCAGCACTGAGGAAAAGATATGTCCAAGAAAATAATTTTCTGTTACACTAGTTCAGGCAAAACATAATTTACTTCATATTAATAAACTTCACCTTGAGGAAAAATATGTCAGCACACTGCATGCATGGGTAAAATATTTGGGCAGCAGTTAATTCCTCTTGGTCAGAGCGACCCATAATTTGACAGCATCTGAGCAATCACCAGTAGGGGCAAAAAGGGTCGGTTAGTTTACACGGGCTACTTGCCTTTGAAGGAAGGAAATCAATGGTCAATACCTTACCTCATAATTCTAGGAAGTTTGTTTCTGCGTGCAATGTCCATAACAAGTGGCCAGTACTCATGAGCTCTAGAATTGATCTCTTCAGAGGACCATAAAAACTCAACTTGACCACTCTCCAGATTCATTCCCACAGCTTTCCATATCTCAATCAGATACTGCCCAACAACTTGAATTTTCTTTAGGTCTCCACCCATCTTGTTATTTAACTGAGCAAACCAATCTGCAATCCAGATCTTCACTTTACAGCCCCCAGATATAAGCTTGTTAACATTTATTGCCTTCATAACCCCCTGTTCACGGAAAATTTTTTTTTAAAAAAAAATTGATATCTATACAGTGATAATGATGTACAGGGAAACACATACATGTCAGCTGCATCACATTGATTATCCAGAAATTAATGACTTTTTTCTGTTGATTAAACACATATGGAACAAAGTTCAGAATGCAGCTTAAATGAAACCGTTAAATATAATATGTTTATTTTTCCAACTAATAGCATAATAGCTTTGAATCCATTAAATAAAAGAAAACATTAAAACTTCTGCTGAAACTTGAAAGTGCTAATCAATAATTTCCCCAGGCGATTACAAAAATTAAAATTTAACCAAACTTCTAATCATTTCTTGTAATGCACTTCTAATCATTTCTTGTAATGCTTAGGCAAGGCAATGGACTGGAATGCTGGGGTAGTCCAAATTTTTAAGAAAACATACTCCTTACAAGATTTGCATGAGTCAAAAGACTGTAACTCATAGCATGGGTACAGTATGCATGCTACCTGTAGAAAGCCATTGGCGAAATTCCTAAGATTAGATACATAATTACATAAATAACTACCCTACTACAGAGAATTAAAAGAGGGATGTGAACTTTGAATCTAAAATAATAAAATGTAGATCCCTTAACATAAACATTTATTACAAGTAAAGATATAAAAAAGGTTTCCAAACAAAGCAATGGTAGTATTATTCACGGCTGCTGCTTGATTTTTTCTTTCTTTTTGTTTTTTTTTAAGTTTCAAAATCATTTTCCTTTTGAATTATCAATTGTATAATCATATTAGTGAACAAGTAAACTTATTGCACTATAAATAATAAATCAGTATGTTTATAATTTTTCTTCCCACATAAAACAGAGACACATTAAAGTATTCCTAAGAAGCGACTCCTAGAACTAATTCTTAAATGGAAAAGAATGTTTTAACATATTTGACTTCCTAAACTATACCTAACACGTTTCTTTGAAATCAAAGTTTTTGCCTTCATATAAAAACTAAACAATAATGCATATTTCTTTTTTATGCACAAGTGATATGCCAATTGGCCATTTCCTATAAAATTAAAATGGGATGATCTAACCATGGAAATCATTGCAGAATATGTATCCACACACACAATATTATTATATTAGAATAACTAAATTTTACTATAATAGTAATTTTAGACAAACAAATTTACTACATTGGTATAATTCAGAGGTAAAAATTTCACTGCCTACAAATAGATGAGTCATTTATATTATTCAAGTACACTAATAGAAAGAAGATGGCATCATCCTGTACATATGTAGCAAGAAGATACTATACTTGGAAAAAATCATATCAATTCTACAAAATGCCAAGAAAACTTCAGTCACAACTCTTCGAGAACAATAGTTCACAGTAGGACAAAGAACAAAAATAGTGCTACAAAGTTACAGACCTGAGCAATGTGCATCCGACCTGAGGGTTCGAATCCATCGTAGCATATTGGTTGAGGCTTATTTGCCAACAGATTTTTTAACTCATCTTCCTGGATGCATTCCTCCCCTATGCTCCTAATAATGTTAAATTTCTCCTCCAAACTCATCCTGATTCAAGAAATTCCAACAATTAAGACTAAATCTCACAAAGAAAAAGAGAGAAATAAGTAATCACACTTGTAAATTACACAAATCTATTAGCATATAGAAACATATGTTGATATACAGAGAGGGGGGAAGGCCATTACTGAGACATGGAACTGGATGAAGAGGACGCGTTCAAAGATAGTGATTCCACAGCATCAGCTGGCGGAGCCTGGTTGTCCATTGATGACTGCTTGAAATGGAGCTCTGGTTTTTGTCACAAAGAAAAACAGTAGCAATCTAAGTCAAAACCTCAAATTTTAGCTATTTCCAATAACACATCTAATTTCCACTACAATTGAATCCACTTTGGCCTACATAATTGATGGTAAAACTTCCCAGCTAAATAGTTCATTTGAAAATGAAGTGAAATATTGCTAAACCCTTCAAAAATTTACAGTTACTACTATTTATTTTATTTAAACAATTAACAACTTTGTAGTTCTTAATGGAGATATTATCCAGGAGGAAATTAAACAAGCAAGAAATGGTAGTCATGAGAGCAGAATTTGAAGTATGTTTCCCCACCGATCCCCGCCGCATTCTGCCCCATCACTTTCCCGCAGACCATATCCACGAGTGCAATCACAGCAAGGAAAGGTACTAATGGCTGGAATACACATGAGGAATGGAGAGAGGGTTTACCTGAAGTCCCGTACGGCGGCGGCGTCCGGAGATTGAAATGCGGTATAGGTATGGGTGCGGCTGTGGAAGAATTGTGAAATGAATCCCCTCTTACTGAAACGTAAAAACCCTTGCTACCCAAGTTTCATTTACATCTGTCATCTGCTACGGAGTTTTTTTTTTTTTTTTTTTTTTTTTTTTTTTTTTACTTCTTCTTATATTATTTTACTCATAATCCATTTGGTTGAAATATTAGATATTAGATTAGAGTTGGAATAAACTTTTGGAAAAATCCTTTCCAAAAAAAAAAAAAAACTATTGAAAAAATGATTGTGTTATAAATATTTTACTAATAATTCACCCGCGCGATGCACGGAAAAAAATTATGTTGTTATAAATATAAATAAAAAATATAAAAACTAAAATATTTTAAATTGTTTAATATAATAATATTTTTGAGCTTCCATTGGTCAAGTATTTATTATTTTTATAGAATACAAAATTACAATTAAAATTAAGATTAAAATTAAAATTTTGTATGGTTAATATAATCTCTAATTATGTGCATATTCAAATAAACTTATAGAGAGAATTTACATAATTACATTGATTTATTCTTAATTGTATTTCATCTATATTATAAATTTCACAATACGAATAATAATTAAGATAATTACATTTGGAAAGCAAATTTTAAATTTTGTATGAGTAAATTTAAACTCTAATATATAGCTATTTTATTTTTCAAAAGTACATTTTTTTTATATGATTATATAATATATAGCTATTTTATTTTTCAAATGTTGTGTTTTTTTTTTTAATAATAAAGGATGTTGTGGCATTAATTGTAACATTAATTACTTCCCAACCATGCAGCTTTATTATAGTTAAGATTAGTGGCCATTAATCTTGAGACTCTCCATTTTCCTTCTACTTAATGTATTGTTTATGTTAAGCATATGAAGGGTTGTATGGACTAGAATAAATACATGTGAAGGCTTAATGAAATGAAGTTCTCATGTTTGTTCTTCTCTTCTTACATCTCTACACTTTAATACCATCTGAGGTCCTCCGAGTATAGTGGTTTTGCCACGTTTAGTCCTAAACTTTCAAATTGGTCATATGTGGTCCTTCGACTTTCAAATTTAACCATCCGTGGTCCAAGTTAACCACCCATGGTCCTTCAACTATTAAATTTTAACCAACCATGGTCCTTTTAAGAGGACCACGACTGGTTAAATTTCGAAACTTGAAGGACCATAGGTGGTTAACTTGGACCACGGATGGTTAAATTTGAAAGTCGAAGGACCACAAATGGTCAATTTGAAAGTTTAGAAATAAACGTGTCAAAACCACTATACTCGGAGGACCTCAGATGGTATTAACTCAATCTTATATATATATAATCTCCGGGCAATTACCGTGTAATCATCACGCGAGAACTAACGAGTTGATAGGCCAAATTACAACACGTTATCAGCACGAATCGCCAACATATTCCTCGATGAACGGTATGCTCGGACATGTTATAATACATATTTTTATACTAGGCAAGCATGTTCATAGGTTTCATATAATACATGTTTTTATATGGCACATGTTGATTCTACACCTCTTGATATGATTATGAAATGCATGATTGATATGATACATATTGATTCTAAAATTTGAAATATGAATTGCACATACTGGTTCGTATATATATATGATTGTGTAAATTCCTGAATACATATTTCCAATTTTATTTTTGATTATTCAAATTGAAAGAAAAGCATGTGATATATATGTTTGTGTAAATAGAAGTGACTTTTCGTATGAAGATGCAATGTATGTATACATATTATTTTCATTTCGCATACTTTATATGTTATATACCCTATGCTGTAGTGCATTATTATGTTTTTATGATATGTCGTTTGCATGTGATTAGCAATTCGTTTTTTGTGCCTGATTAGGCAATGAATGAATGGTTTTTAATTAAGATTGTTAAAGCTTATTTTGTGGAAGCTTAAGAGTGAGTAAGACTTTAAAGCTTAATTAATGACTTGGGAGCATCAATTAGGTGTATTGGAGAGTGAAGCACCACTCGTTGCCTGTAGCACGAGTTGATGCTATAAACACGAGTCGATGCTTGCTGCATCAATTTGGTGTTTGCCTCACTGATTCGTGTTGCACCATTTTTGGTTATATGCCAAATTGTATGTATATGTATCCATGTATGTTCTATGATTATGGAGATCGAATACATAATCGGTCCTTATTATGTTTGCATTGGATTGTTGTGTTTGTATTAGAATGCTAAGAAACGGATATGCATATTTATGTAAAAGGTGTTTCTTCATCCATTGCTTGAACGTGTATTCAAAATAGTGGTTTTTCCACAAGTTGTCACATTGCTTCCTAAAGTTGCATCAAATGATGATCTTGTAGATTATGTCTTTCATTGAAAATGTGAATTTATTGAGCTCGCTCATGTCGATAGCAATTATTTCACTTGGGCTTTGGATATTGGAATATATTTGACATCTAAGAAATCGAGCCAAACTTTTGTTGCTAAGTCACAGAGAACCGATGCCCAGAAGGCACAAGCTCTCATTTTCATGCGTCACTACTTGAACCACGATATTAAAAATGAGTATTTGATTGAAAAAGTCCCTATTGCGTTATGTAAGTCCCTGAAGGACCATTTTGACTAGTAGTCATCTATTTTCCTTCCTCAGACACAATTTGACTAGATTAATCTTAAGTTTTAAGATTATAAGTCAGTAACTGACTATAATTCAGCTCTGCACAAAATAATCTAAGAAGTGAAACTCTAAACAAGAAGTTTTAGAGAAATATTTAATTGAAAAGACATTGTCAACTTTTCGTGTGAGTAATTTGTACTCCAGCAGTAGTACAAGACAACAAATTATGAGAAGCATCCTAAGCTGATTTTAACACTTCTTGTGGCTAAGAAACATAACTAGTTGTTGATGAAGAATCAAAATGCATGTCTGGTTGATTTTGCACAGGTGCCTGAAACACATAATGTTATCTAGTTGAGTAACTTTATAAGGGGTTGCAGTCGAGATTATAATCGGTGTGGTATGAGTTTCGAGCTCAGAATAAGAAACAAAGTGATCAAGATATTCAAGGACGACCAAAACTCATCGAGGCAAAATTCTAGCCAGAAGCAGGTTTGATATCAATGTGGGTGTGAATGGCATCGATCCCTATGTGCCGCACACCAAAGCATTTGGTCATCGGAGAATGAACCTCATCTTGATGATTCTAGCTAATTTGCCTGAAGCAAATATTGCGATAAATTATGATAATGAAATGATGAGGTATTGATGAAGAAATGATTGGTGTCATGATAATGTTTTGAACAATGCATGAAAATATATTCATGGCCGAAAAAGTTAGTTTATGCCTGAAGCATGAAGTATCCGAGTAGTTAGCTCATGCTTGAAGCATCCGAGAAGTTAGCTTATGCTTGAAGCATCCGAGAAGTTAGTTTATGCCTGAAGCATCCGAAAAGTTAATTCATGACCGCAATATTCGAAAAGTTAAGTTACTTTTGGATGCAAAGTATTATGAGGGCAAAGTGATTTTACTTTGCTGATTTTACTACTCGGATTAACTATCCGAAATTTACTATTCGGGAAGTTTACTTCACAGAGTTACTTCTCTTAATTTGCATGCTTATTTACTCAATTTTGTTCTCATGCATGCAACATGACTCTCGTATGCAATTGACCGGTTGCTAATTCAAAATTGAATTATTATTTGTTCCATAAATCCTATATCAATCCAGGAAGGATTGTTATTATCAACAAATTATGATAATCATCTTTTGACTAAATTTAAGATGTCAACATGACAAATTTTCCTTCTTCGACTATGGCTTAGTGCAATTCTGTGTTGTTTAAGGAGTGGTATACTCCTTTATAAGAATGATCTTTGACTTATGCCATACATGATATGATTGATTTAGATGTTATTGGTTTGGAAGATAGAATAAATTATATCATATCAATTTGCCTGGAGCAAACGAATGAATAAATTATTTCATATCAGTTTGTCCGAAGCAAATGAGGGAGTGAATTATATCATGTGAATTTGCACGAAGCAATTCTCAAACCAGTGAGTGAACTAATGTAAAGTTGAGGATAAGGATTTTTGGGAGATCCTGAAGATCTATTTTATTTGACAAGCTTCCAACTTCCTTATGATTGTTCTGTACCCTTATAATATCATTTGATATGTATGCTTTCATAACTGATTATATATGTTACTCTTAGATGATTGCATATATGTTTTGGGTACTTCATATATTGCGATGCACTTTTATGGGCCGTTTGGTTCACGAAATCAATTTGGAGGGAATAGGAATGTTATTCCATAGGGAATGGAATAGGTAAGGAATAGAATAGAAATTGTATTCTGTTGTTTGGTTCGCTGATGGAATAGACTTTAGGAATTGTATTCCAACATTTGGTTAGTTAAGGAATAGAAATGGAATATATGAGTAAAATACATAAATGCCCTTATACAAAATATATTATTATTATTATTATTATTATTATTATTATTATTATTATTATTATTATTATTATTATTATTATATTAGTAATGTTCATTTTCCATTTGTATAGCAGATTCATTGTTTTGAGGATATTTTTGAACCAATGATAAAAGCTGTCTTGGAGATTTTTGTGGAAAAAATAGCGGATGGCACTCCCAGATTCCGTTGTTGTGATAATTAGAACCGATCGCATTACATTTGTGATATAACTCAGATCAATATTCTCAGCCGAATGCTTTGATCCATATTTAAAATTCTATCGTGCGACTAACAATGGCCTCCTCATCGTCAAATCCCACGGACCACCTCTTTGTCCGTCGACTCAGCACGCTAGAAAAACTCAAGTCTGCGCAGCACCACCTTGGAAATTTTCTGGCCACCGTCTAGTGATCGTAGGGGGGAGGAGACGTCCGGATGGTGATCGCCGTTTTCCTGCCGCTTGCGGCCGTATGTGTTTCTTTCCAGTGCATATTGGCGATGTTTGTACTCATCGTTTGAAGAGTAGGCGTGCGTCTAGGCATCTATTCGAACCACCGAAGCTCGGCTCCGGTGAGGCAGGGGCGATCGAGTCTGGCATTCGACGGTCAAAGCAGCGTGCATCCGGCCACAATTATGATAAGGCGAACAGCTACGGTGGCGGGGTTTTATGTGTGTATGTTTAGAAAAGGAAATTAATTTTGAGGGAGGGGGTAAAATAGGAAATAACAACTTTAGGCTATTCCTGAGAACTCAGGAATAGCCTAATACCAAGGGGGGTGCCAGGAATCTCTATTCCCCTTGCAAGGGGAATAGGTCGTTCCCAGGAACAATGTTCCTGGGAATAAAAGATTTTACCAAACAAAGGAATAGGCATGTGACTGGGAATGCTATTCCATTACAGGCCTATTCCGCGAATCAAACGTGCCATTAAAGGCTTTAAAGACCCACATGATTTTATAGTATAGCATGAGTTAGTGCATCGCCTTGGGCAATTATATATTTTCTTGTTGGGGACATCAGTTTTATATGTTATTGTTGTTATCACAATCTGGCCTGCTGCATATCATAAGTATTCCCCCTAACACCTAGTACGTGGTATAAAATCAAACTTTTCCCATTTGCGTTTTATTCACAATGTGCAGTCTTTTTCCTATATCAACATCATAGCGTACATTGTGGGCATGTATATGTTGATTATAAACCTCCGTCTGTTATTTAAATCTTTAGAGCCCATGATAAGGGATCAATATATAATTATGTACGCTGACTGCACACTTTATGAAGATCATTTCACGGCATTAGGGGGAGATAAGAGCTCAAATTTTATAGAATGCCGAGAAATTCTATGAATGATTGATCTTCAATATTTGAATCCACGTACTAGGTAACTGAACTAGAAGTTCATAAGAAGTAAACTGAACTGGAAGTTCAAAAGATAATTAATCTGCCAATATATATACTGATAAAAACAGTGACTAGGTCCCATGTATCTTCCCGAACTTGGACCGTATGTATTTACCAATGCTCCTTGACGCCAGAAGCGTGGAGACATGTTGGTATAAAAGACAAGAATCCGCGAAAAGCTAAAGCTAGTAGAAAATTTTGGAATCATAACCCCGAATGGGTAAACTAAATATGGGGGATTCCAAAATGTCGCTGCATGGAAAGTGGACACCAAGCAAGGAAAACCGTATTTGTGGAGTGCATTTCTCTCCCATAGAGACTCGCTATGCCCCTTAGCGATTTAAGCTTCCGTATTTTATACTATATTTTGTAATTCATTTTTTTCATTTTACATATGTAGTGTATGTTGTTTTCGTATTCCAATGATGGATTCCAATTTAATATATTATATTATTCCAATTTATCCGTGTGGAACTTTTATGACTTTGTTTTTTGCAATGTTGTATTCCAATTAAATATAATATATTATTCTCATTTATCCGTGTTAGACTTTTAGAACTTTTTTTTTTAGCAAAGTCCTATTCGGACTGAGTTTTAACACTTAGTTTGTCATTTTGTGTGGCTATAGCAATCAGAATTCATCTGATTGGTACAATCATACGAAAAAAAATTGTTATATATGTAGATTTAAAATCTTTTATGACATTATTTAATTAAAAGTGTTATTTTAATGTGCTTGTAAGTAAAAAAAAAATAATTTACTAGACTGTTGAACTAAAACATTCGATTTTATTAATGATTTAAATTTGGACATTGCATAGAAGAGTGTGTTGTCTTTCGACAATACTTACATTTTGTTCTACGATTGCTACTAAAGTCCATTTCATTGGGAAATCTTGTTGTTCGTCGTTGGCCTCTTTGTGTTCGTCGCTTAGCGTTAATAGGCGAAAGGTAAGTGATATGATTAGTCCACTGAGTATTTTCGACCAACGGATAGAAATTACCTGCGTAAGCATTCTTGTAGTTTTGGACGTAGTAAACTTGTGGCACGAATTGGTAAAATGCCTCCCTTCGGAAATTACAAGCTGCTATCACATGTGCACACGGTATTCCGTCCATGTTCCACTTGTCGCAGTTGCATGTTCGTTCAGCCAAGTTGACGTGAAAATGATGGTGCAGACCGTGAGCCATGTATCCAGAAATTATAGCAACGCCGTAAATGCCAAGAGTGTCATTATATCTTTCAATGCTTGCATTTTTTGACTCATTTTCTCTAGCAACCAAATCTTCATGAATCTTTGGCGTGAAAAGCATTTTGCTGCTGATGCATCATCTCCCCCGCAGTACGCCTATCGACAAACATTGTTCGTAACTTGTGAAAAGTTATTCGTGCGATTTTCGTGATAGGCAACATTCGACAACTCTTAATCGAGTTATTAAATGACTCAGATAGATTGGTTGTCATAATGCCGTACCGATAACCCCCATCGTGACATAATGTCCATGCCTCTTCATCGAGTTCTGCCAGATAGTTGTATGCATTGGGCCAGTTTTGTTGGATGGTCTGCATGTTTTCATTGAATTGATTTGTTGTAACAACAGTACCAGCTTCCCAAATCAATCTACGTAACCACCGATTTCTACTGACCTTTGTCAGGACATTGCTCCGCAGGTGTCTAAGGCAATACCTACGTTTCACTCGGCCATGCAATTGTTTGACGTTCTTAAACGCCGCATCAATTCCAGCATGTCTATCCGAAACGATGCACATTGAGTCGTAATCGGGGAAGACATGTTCAGCGAGTAGTCGTATAAACCAAGTCCAGCTAGCATTATTTTCTGAGTCCACTATTGAATAAGCCAGTGGATATATTTCTTTGTTTGCAGTGTATCCGCATGCTAGAAGGAGATGCCCTTTGTACCGGTTGTACAAATGTGTACCATCAATACATATAACTGGGACGCAGGAGCGGAATCCATCAATTGCCGGCTTGAAAGCCCAGAATGCATACTTGAAATGCATGTATTCAGAACCACGTAGTTCGGAAGGAATACACTCCATCTCGACAATCGTTCCCGGGTTGGACACTTGCAAGTTACACAAGAATTGTGGGAGATCATTGTAGGATTGTTGGAAATTCCCGTACTGCATTTCAATGCATTTTTGTCGGGCGTACCATGCATTCCTGTACGAAATGTCCACACTGTAATGTTGACTCACATCAACTTGGATGTGTTTGATTTTGTATTGTGGGTCAGCAGCGATCTTTTGGAAAATCAAATCGCTAATTAGTGCGTTGTTGCACATTCTGTCTGCCCCTCCTTGGTTGTATTGTACTGTGCAGTCATGTGTATCAAAGAACTTTGTCACCATCCATTGAGAAGATGCCCCATGCAATTTCCTTGCTGATAATGTCCAGCCACAAGAAGGAATTGCATGGAAATTTTGACACGAGACTTTCCAATTGTTTTTTTCTTGTGATTCGTTATGAAGCTCCGCCTCTGATGAATACTGTATGTTGATACAACTTTTTTTAGTGTGGGAAAATCTGGGAAAACCATTCTGATGCAGATGACATTTGTTGAGGGGTCATATGACATTATTTCTTGGTCATCCCTCTCTGTAAACCCGTGGCTGAATGTTGTTGTCATTTGTGGTATTGGAGCATGGTAGAAAGAAAAATAGCAGAATCAGGGACAGTTGTACCTCGACCACCATATTGTTGAGCAGTTTGTCCCATACTTTGGAAGTCAACTGCAACTGGTTCATCTATGTCCTCGTCCGTAGTATAGTCACTGCTTGATGGTATTGATTCGGGTACATAACTCTCATCTGTCTCCGAAGAAGTTTCCACGATCGTTGAAGTTGATGGTGTGGCATGAGAAGTATAACTCCCGAAATAAGATGCCATAATAAAATATTGAATCAAATTGCACTAGTTCAAAATTGCAGATAGGCAACCATTGTAAAACACAATAGGCGACCATTCTACAATGGTCGCCTATGAGAGGCTCGCGGAAAGGCAGTGACTTTACGCGACCATTGTGAAATGGTCGCGCATTGTTAGTAATACGCGACCGTTCAAACCATGCCCAACTCAATACTATCATAAAAAACAAAATACATTTTATCAATAAAATAAAAGTTATAAGCACTCGGAAAAGAAGAACTTTGACCAATGCTCTCGAAGATCATTTATGTCGTCGATAGAATACGGACTATCGCTTTCAAATGCCTACAAAAAATTAAATTAATAAAATTATTAAATATGTTAATTAATAAAATATAACTTAACTATACATAGTTCCATTTAAATTCACTTACCCCATCCAAATTATCAACAGATGAATATTTTGTCACGATGTCATACATGTATCGCATGACATAATATCCACACTCATGACCTCCCGGTTGGATCGGGCACTACAAAATACATATATTATTTTACTAATTTAAACAACTTAATGTAATTCAAAATGTCACACTAAAACTTAAATTCAATTTTCATACATACTTTGCATGGCTTCCAATTGATGCTCTTAACCCGTGCACTCGTAGGAACATAGCGAAATGCCCTATAATAATTATAAGCATATACATAAAAATTTATAAATAATAGCATAGTTGCTAAAATAATTATATAAATAATAATAAAGTATTTACTTAAAAATTCACAGAGCCTTTAATTAAACCTATGTTGCGATTAGAAGGCAAGGGATCCAAGATACATACGCTTTTTGACCATATGCAAATCACCAAAAGTAACCAATGAGAGCTACATTTAAAAACACAAATATATATTAACAATTTAATATCTAATACTCCAAATATAAAGTTATGAGTTATATTAATAAAATATAAGAACAATTTTCTTACTCTTGATGATATGGTGCTAAAATAAAGTTTTTATCTTTGTGCTGCTCCATGACGTGGATGAAATATGATGTAACTTTGCTGGAACTGCTTTTAAGCATAGTGTGGCAAATCTGAGTCGGACAGACAAACCCGATTGACCTAATGTCATACTCATTGCACAACTGATTAAGAAATCTGAAAATTAAGAAATAATGAATAAGAAATTTTACTAAATATAGGTAAACATATATATAAAATATAGTAATAATTTAAACAAAAAACTTACAATATAAACACTTGTATGATTGAGACATTAAGCCAATTCATCATCATCAAATCCGCTATATCCTTCACCATCACAAAAATAGAACTTGTGTTTTTATGATGGAAGATAGTTTTATCCAGCTCCAACTCAATACAGTCTTTACCAAGTGGAAAGCTTGTCAACAAATCCACTAAACACTTGCAATTGTCCCCCAAGTGCAGTAAGACATCATCACCAACAATGGGAGCTCGTGCACCAGTAGTAGATAGATCAACACTTTGATCTTTTGGTTTCATATTTTGTTTTGATGAACTCTACAAATATAAAATTGTAAGTTTACCAGCCCCTTTTAAATATAAATAACGAAAACTAACTTAATTAATAACTAAATAAAAGAATGCATACCTCTTCTAAAGTCACTAAATGCATAGGCCATTGTGCAAAACTGCCTACTATATCTGCTATAGTGACATATTTTTGATCTGGAAAGGGGAGAGTAAAGTGTCCTCTACCCTTAATCACTTCATCCACTGAAACTTTGACACAGTTATACAACAATGGTTGGTGATCCACCAAAGTCTCGTCAGTACTTGGGTGAACCATACCCTTTGCAACATCAATTGGTGTTCCATTGGGACATACTGCTAGTAAACACCTTTTTGTACTCTATTATTCAAAATTGTGTGTTAATCTTAATCTAACAAGAAATAATTTTTTGATATATGAAATAACTTTTAATATTACCTGAATTGTTGTAACTGGATATGTGTCAACTGAATGACAACTGCTACGAGTAGGGGGTGGATCAGAAGCGGTGGATCAGGCGAGACCCCTCCTGAAAATAGATGCGTCCCCGATATGTTCTTCATCAAAAACTTGAGTTGTAAACTACTAAAAGAACAGGCCAAGTACTATGTCGACTGCTCATGTTACCATGAGGATTCATTCCATCAGTACACAGTCCAAGTCTAAGATTTCTATTTTCAGAACCGAAATCAGGCCACCTCCTATCAATATTTCTCCATTGAGGTAAATCAGCTGGATGTCTCAGTTTTCCATCTTCTTTTCTTCCAATAGCATGCCATTGAAAATTTTTTGCCTCTCTTGGTTTAGCAAACATGCGTTTAAATCTTGGTATTACGGGTAAGTACCATAATACTTTGGCTGGGGGACCTTTCTTATTCTTACTTGCATCTTTGTTTTTATAACGTGATGCTCCACACTTTGGACACACATGCAAGTCTTTGTAATCTTTCCAATACAAAATACAATCATTTGGACATGCATGTATCCTCTCAATGTCCATACCCAAAGGACACAACATTTTTTTTTTTTGCTTCGTAAGTTGAATTAGGAAGTTCATTGTCACCCGGAAGCATGTCTTTTATTAGTTATAATAATCCCGTGAAACTCTTATCACTCCATCCATTCTTTGCTTTTAAATTATATAATTTAAGCACTCCAGATAACTTAGTAAATTTAGTACTTCCAGGGAACAACGGTTTTTCAGCATTGTCAAACAAACTTTTAAATTCAGGAGGCATTTCACTAAAATCTTCCTGCACATCACGCATCATTTCATCTATTCGATCATTATCTTCATCATTCTCATCATTGCTAACATGAGATGCATTATTCTTCTCATTATCTTCAAGAGTTTGACAATTTGCTTTAGTTTTACCGTGTGCATGAGTTTCACTATCTATATAAGTTTTCTTAATTACACTTGTACTAGGAATTAAGCTTTCACCGTGCCATATCCATCTTGTGTATCCTTCCTTAAAACCACGACGTATCAAATGACTCTTCACTTCATCAGAACTACGATATCTTTTAAAATTCTGACAATCGCAACACGGGCACACAATAAAGTCCTCCCCCTTTTTACTCATATTTTCTTCAGCACATTGTATAAACTCTTGAACCCCTTGCATATATGGGAATGTAGTGCGTTTTCTGAACATCCAACTCCTATCCATATCTGTGAATTCATAAAATAATACTCTAAGTACTAATCAGATATGGATACGCAATGGTTACTTAATTGTCTTTGGGGAATGCTCACCAAAATCAAGTATGACTAAGATTATAATTTGTTGCATGTTGAGCAATCAAATGCAGTCATTCAACTTAGCATGACAGATGTTTACAAGTAATGAAGATGATTGTCTAACTCTAGAACACTTACTTGCAGCGGATAATCACTGGTTGAGGTTTCAGAGCCTTAGGTCCATTTCGTATCCCTCTATTGTGACGAGAAACCTGCATTATTGAATGTATACCACCAAATAAATGTCAACTGAAATAAGAGATAGAAGTCTGTTTTATGCCCTAGACTGTCAGAACTTTTGACCGTTAGTAGCCCATCTATTACCAAATAAAGGACAGTTATGGTCATTGGTTAAGTGAATGCATCACATGCTGCTCCAACATGGAGGCTAGCAGTTATTTTCTTTATATCTAAAAAAAATCAATAATAACTAATATATAAAATAAAAACAAACATGCAACAGGCTTCACATTTGACTACTTGACTGAAATAATCAATAGTCACAACACCATCCCAAATCCCATTACTTCAATAGTACCAACACAGTTTTGTCCTTCCGGAATTTTTTAAAAAAATATATAAGCCTATTCCACTATCTGTATGAACACTACAACATTGGGTCACAAGATCTATCACCACTATCCAACGCTGCTACCATTCACCACCAGCCAGCAGTGTCACCATCTACTACCACTACCAGACATTCTTATCACCTACAACCACCTTGTGATATCAGACCACCACTATGTCACCACTGCCCAGCCAGAGCACCATTGACTTAAAACAAGATCAAACCCGTGGGTATTTCAAGATTAAATTAATTTCACATTTTCCAACCAAATAAACAAAAAATGCTAAGGACTGAATGTCTGAAAAAGACAATCAATTAGGATTAATGACTAGTGAGATAGAGATCAGAGGAGCATTAGGCCATTGGCAGTAGCAATTTGGAGAGTTGACGGGAGAAATAAAGAGAAAGAAAGAAAAACCTGTGCTTCTAAAGAGTTGCAGTTGGAAGAAGGAAACAATCCATTGATTGGGAAATTTTGATAAATTAGGAAGAAATTACCTGAAATGTGTTTAGTGCCCTTAAACTTTGATTTATTTTTATCACATGAAGTCTAGTGCCACTTTAGCATCCAATTCTAACCTAAACTCTAACCTGAGGACCAAAAGTGTCAAGTTTCTTGTAGTCTAGCAACTACTAGCAGGAGTTTCAAAAGTTTGAGGTCTGGCAATGCACACCAATTGTCTGGGACTTTATCAGAAATATAAGCAGTATAAAACTTTATCAACTATTGCATTACCACACACTTATAAATTATTATTAGACTCTAACCCATTCAATCCGAATAGTGATTTTACTACATTTTAATATCAAGATCTGAGGATATTATATTTTAAACCTGTGTCTAACAGCATACTCACCCTTGCCCATTGCCATGGTATTCCATGTACACACCTCTTCTGTTACACACGTTTTCAATCTCTAAAAAAGAAATGCCCCCTCCCATTATCAATCAAGACTAGCTTGCAGTAGTAGTTTTAAGAAATGCTAATTCACCAAATTAGCATTATAAAATTTGTTATGCACAGTTTGGACTAAAACTTTGCTTCAAGATATCATCTTTACAACAATGTATTGACAGTGCCTCAAAGCATTAGCTAAATCTCACAACTTCACATAACAAAACATGATTTCACCTTCCATACTTGATTTTGGTGAGCATTCTTCAGCACATTGTATAATCTCTTTATTCTAAAAACTACTATTAACAATTAAAATATTTTTTTTAAAAAAACTAACCTGTACGAGAATGGTAGTGGCGCGGCGTCGGGAAAGGGAGGCGGCAGTGGCGCCGACGGGCCGGGGATGGCGGCTTGGCTGTGGCGGTGCGTCGTGGTGTGGGCGTGCGGCGGTTGCTGTACGTGTGGCGGTGCGTCGCGGTGGTCTCCGCCAACGGCGCGGTGGCGGTGGGTCGCCGGGCGAGAGCGTCGAGGTCGGATGGGAGCAGATCGATCGCGTGGTGGCGGGGCGAGATCGAGAGCGTGGTCGCTGGAGAGAGCAGCGGCAGATCGAGAGCGTCGATGGAGTATTTTGAGCAGCGGCAGATCGAGATGCGGGTGGTCACGCCGATCGTCGTCTTCGTTCGTCGATGAAGCGTCGTCTTGGATTCGTTCGTCGATGGAGTATTGTCAATATGTTTTCTGATTGCATAGATCTAGGGTTAATCTTAGGCAAGGCAACCATTTCTATTAAAAATGGTTGCCTATTACAAAACAAGTTCTATTTTAAGGCAACCATTTCTATTAGAAATGGTTGCCTATTATAAATTAATTTTTTTAAAAATAAATACAAAATACAATGGGCAACCAT